GCGCCTCTCCCAAGTCGGTCAGCAGGTAGGTGAGCCAGTGTAACTCCTGTGCAGCCATGGCCTCTGCGTAGATCTCACCCTCACAACTGGAGCTGAGAACAGAAGACGAGCGGGTAGACCGCCACGAAACAGAACCGGAGCCAAGGCTGAAGGTGTAACCCTGTGACGACCGCTGCGTAGCCAAGTCGTCAACCCAAGAAGCCTCTGCGTGACTAGTGAGGACAACTGGACCCCGTCCTCCAAGCACGAGCCCCATGCCCGACGTACTGCACAAGTAGCGCATCACCCTCTTAGCGGCCTTCCAGTGCTCTGGTCGGTGTCTCCCGGGCGCAACGTAGCGTGCCAGGATGCTAAGAGGGTAAGCAAGGTCAGGTCGAGTGCAGGTCATCAGGTACATGAGGCAGCCCACAAGCTCTGGATACGGGCCACTCGGCTCTACGGACTCATCCGAAGGCAGAGCTAAGAGCGAGTGGCCGGTAGGCAGAGGAGTGGACTGAGGCGAGGGTACAAGTAGCAAACCCTAATTTGGGTTGTACCCCACATGGGCTACCCCACTACAGCCTACACAATAAGCAGCATATATGTTTGACACTCAGTTCAAACACCCACCCACCCACCCACACGTTCACCCACCCACCCATCCATCCATCCAATCATCCATCCATCCCGTGCCACCAGGTGCAATTCTCGCTCTTGAGCTCAGGTGAAGAGCAGGACGACCTCATTTCCGCACTGCTGCCACTCAACCAACCATGCCCATCAAAATCCATCCCATCAAGTGGTTATTTGACATTCTCTTGCACCCTCCTTTGATTAATCTCTGCACGATAAATTCCTCCCCTCTCCCTCCAACTCTACGTCAAACTGGCCCACCCTCTCTCCTGTATAACACCCCCCCAATCTCCCTACTTCCCCCACACTTGTTTCTTATTCTAAATCCAGAGGTATTTTGTTCCAACAACTGCTGCCCGGCTTGGACCCTCTTCTTGGCCTCATGACGGAAATCGGGGAAAAGCGAAACAGAACCCTGCCTCAGGCAAGTCAATTTTGAGACTTACATTATCCCATCTTCGTTTTCTACATGAGTTCATGCCCCACATTCCCCTTCTACTTGTGATGCTGTGTCTTCTTGTGACTGCCTTGCTCTCCATCCTGCTGTTCTGCTCCATCACACAATCTCTTATCCCCACTTATTCTCACAAAACACGTGGCAATTAACTAATGCGTGGGAAACAACGGGTGCATGGCCAAAGGCTTGGTCTGGTTCCTACCTATCCCAGGAGCCAGCTCCGAAACACTTGGGTGTGTCTTTTCCTGTGACATTTGTATATGCTCCACTCCACCTTCCCACCATGTCACCAGGTGGCGATCAACTGGTGCATGGCCAAGGGAACTGTTCCCATCCCAATAGCCAAGAACACATCAAAGCAACTTGCATGTGTCTGTTCTCTGTCACACTTACATGTACTACTCTTGCCCATCATGTTAATAGGTGGCAATCCACTGTTGCATGGCCAAGGGCACGGTCCCCATACCAGGAGCCAAGGCTGTTGAGCGAGCAGACAAGCTGTTTACGTGTGTTTAACTGTCGTGCATGCTCCTACTCCCCTTGTTACAGGTGGTGATTAACTGCGCATGGCCAAGGGCACGGTCCCTATCCCAGGAACCAAGACCGTCGAGCAAGCAGACAAGCAACTTACGTGTGTTGAACTGTCGAGCATGCTCCTCCTACTCCCCTTGTTACAGGTGGCGATCAACTGGTGCGTGGCCAAGGGCACAGTCCCCATGTCAGGAGTCAAGGCTGTTGAGCAAGCAGACAAGCAACTTATGTGTGTTGAACTGTCGTGCATGCTCCTCCTACTCCCCTTGTTACAGGTGGCGATCAACTGGTGCATGGCCAAGGGCACAGTCCCCATCCCAGGAGCCAAGTCCGTCGAGTAAGCCAAGGAGAACCTGGGAGCGCTTGGCATGCGGCTGTCGTCCAGTGAGGTTGCAGCTTTGGATGACGCTGCTGCTGAGGTGCCACGGCCAATGATCCAAAACATCTTTCAAACCAAGTGACGTGCAGGTTGCACCATCGTAAACGAGGGTTTTAGGCTAGCGTGGATAACTTACATATGTTACAAATGAGGGATAGGGGAGGAGATACCTTACTGTGCTGTCATTGCTCCGGTTATTTATGCTCTGTTCTGGTTTGAAGATATCTACATCTGCATTGTACTGGCTTTGTGGTGTCCAAGTAATAATGAGTGTGCTAGCACATATGTTCCTATCTCCTAGTAGTATCGTATGGTGCACGCGCGTACCTATTTTGTTGGAACAACGATTGAGAAACGAACGCCACTGGTGGGCTGGCACGTCGCATGTATCGCCGCCGTCCATCATTGGCGAGCCGCCATCAAAACTAACCTTCCCTTCCCACAGTCGTCGTCGACCCGGTCAAGTCCATCCTAACTCGTGAGTTTTCTTGACCATCGGCAGGATATCACTTGGACCGCACCTCAGCCCTGCTCACCACAGTACACCGCAATCAAAACTCCACCTTACCGATAATTGACGGCGGTGACGTTTCCTAGGACACTGCCCCCGTTCTCTGCCAACCACGCTGCTCGCTCCGCCAACCTTCCACTTTCCTGGCTGGAGATGGGAGCAGGATTTTTTCCAACTACCAATGCTCTTCGCTCTCATTGCGAGAGTCTCGTCGTTGCGGATAAGACATTCCATAGCGTCCCCACCAGCCCACCGCGCCAGGCTAGCTGGGGGGGGCGTAATGTGACTGCTATAAGTGCCCTGGTTGCTCGGCAGAGTACTGTTATCTCATTTCTCTGACTGCCAGTTAACTGATATCCATTTGCCGCCAAGGTCCTGTTGCCCCAGCCTGTCCGTTACGTTGAAATTCAGTGTTGTTTGTTTCTCGCTCAGCTACTAATGGCGACGCCCGTGACGGATGAGACCTTTTCGAGCCTCGTTTCGGATAGTGAGCTTCCAGTGCTCGTCTTCTTCTGGGCTCCATGGTCCGGCCCTTGCAGGATGGCCGCTTCCTCCATTGACGACCTCGCTGCGGAGTATTCCAGCAGGGTCGCCTTTTACAAGCTGGACATCGAAGAGAGTCCCAATACGCGCGGCACGCACGACATCCGGAACGTGCCCGCTGCGAAGATCTTCAAGAGTGGGAACGTGGTTGATACCATCACTGATTTCAATAGTAAAATGGGCCTCATGTCGGCCCTGGACAGGGCCGTGTGATGACGTCATAGTACGCGCTTGCATGCCATCGTGATTTGTACGTTTTTGGAGTTTCAGTTGCTGGATACGGCATTTCACACGTTCAATCTACTGGTACCGTATGCTAGTGGAGGAGAGGCTGGACGGAATTCATAAGACGGGCCAGACTTAATCGCGATGGAGAAAGATGCTGTGTTTCAAGAGCATTCAAGAGCGATTTGCCTGTCTCTACCGCTTTGAACCTCCACCCACCAGTCTGAACAGTCATGCATGATTTGAAAACGAAGTATTCCTGACCCGCACCAACCCACATTTGTGACGGGCTTTCAGCCCAACATGATGAGCTCTCTCCATGTACTGAACAACCCTTATCACAGCTCCAGCTACAGGATTCATGCTTGCTGCGGGGGTTTCTAGGTGCTAGGAGCGGGTTCTAAACCAGCCCACTTTCAGTGTATCAGGTATCCAATGGTGAGGACTTATCAGTCTTGCTGATGTGTACATGTCACAGCCAGCAATGACCTCTTGACAGGTAGCCCGATACGTTACCCTTTGGGGCAAGAATGCACCCTTGCAACAAGAACAGACATGGCATGGCCATAAATCCCCAATATAGCTGCAGCATACCCCTGTGAGTCCAGAAAAAAATGGCATCTATTTGTTACAATGGCATACATGACTTGAGGAACTGATTGCAACCTCTTCAGGAGTTGCGTAGGATTAACGAGGAAACAGCACATCGAGCATGCCATTGGCCAGCACGTTTTTGGGATCGAGCTTTTTCCGATACTCATTTAACTTGGCCACGGGGAAATCGCGTGCAATGCGTGACACAAGCCACTGACGAGTGGCAGGATCCGAGGGAATCTGCGCAGTTCGGGAGGAGGAAGAACAAATTTGTAAAAGTCCAAGAAATTTCTGTGAGAAAGTGGAGATAGAAGGGCAAGAAAGCAGGGAATACAGGCAGATTGGGAGAAGTGGGAGTGTGAACAGGAGACAACATTAGATTGGTGGAATGCGTCACTTTCCTTCAACATCCAACCTTGTGTTGATGTTGTGTGTGTATGAGTGTGTGTGTGTGTGTGTGTGTGTGCACGCGCGGGTGTGTGTGTGTGCGTGCGTGTGCGTGTGCGTGTGCGTGTGTGTGTGCATGTGGTGTGTGTGAGTGGTGTGTGTGTGTGTGCACATGTGTGTGTGTGTGCGTGTGTGTGTGTGTGCATGTGAGTGTGTGTGCATGTATGAGTGTGTGCATGTATGAGTGTGTGTGTGTGTGTGTGAGTGTGTGTGTGTGTGTTTGTGTGTGTGTGTGTGTGTGTATGTGTGTGTGTGTGTGCTTGTGAACTTTTATTTCTGTTCTTTTCACTCTATAGACTCACCATTGACCCTCTCATAGAACCAACTCTCGTACCTCAATCTTTGCCCAATGCTCATGTGCTCCATATTTGTCCCAGAGCCTTCGGGCAGTCAGAAACTTGTAGTCGAGGAAATGTTTGGTGATGGCTGCCCGTTGATCAGGGTCATTAGAAGGCAGATACACGATTATGCCCACCTGTATGCGATGCTCATGGGTCACAAATAGCAAGAGTATCAATGCTCACCACAAAGTTTCAATGTGCTGTGAAAAAGGATGGAGCAGGAAATAACCAGCATTACAACGGGTCAAGATGGAAGCAACATCGATGGTTATGGGGCATGATCGAAATGTTGTTGATTGTAACGGATTGGATGGACAAGGGAGGACATATGATTTAGAAGATGTCAGAACATAGTACCCCTCAGCTCAGCCACATGCTTAAATCAATGTCAGCAGCTGTGCCACATACCCATGAGTACACATCATCGAGTGCCGCTCTTCCTTGTGCCCCCGAGCCTGCTGCCGAACCTGCAGCAGCTGCTGCTGCAGCATTAGAAGCATTATAAGCACCGGAAGTGGGGCTGAGAGGGCTGCGACTGCCGCTGGTCCAGCGCTGCTCTATGGGCGCCGGGGCGGGGATGCACTCTGACTCGATCAGCGCCAATAGCTCCTCCATAAACGCTATGTCCGCTGTGCTGCTGCTGCTGCTGCTGGCGGCGGCGGTGCTGGTGGTGGTGGTGGTGCTGGTGCTTGTGGCGGCCGTGCTGTTGGTGGTGGTGCTGCTGCTGCCGCCTGCCTTGAAGCATACTTCAGACACCCACTGCTGCCCACCACAGTCAAAGCCTAGTATCTGGTCGCTCCACCCTTCCCTGCACATGCGAAACAGAAGAGTATGCATTAGTAGGGTGAAGCATTGCTGTGCCAATAAGTGTCTGGTTCGCCCTGACGCACACCTCTGACACCCACTGCTGCCCTCCACAGTCAAATCCCAGTATCTGGTCACTCCACCCTTCCCTGCAAGGGAAGAATGATTGAGTTCAATGTGCCTATTTTCTATTGTGATTAGTACAATTACTACGAGACACTAGGCTGGGTGCTCAACATACCTCATGTGCATGTACGGATATCAAAATCTCACACACACACGCGCGCGCATGCACGAGCAGGCAGGCACACACACACACACACACACACACACACACACACACACACACACACACACACACACATACTCTCTGTTTCCCTTGTGAGCTGCCTGGTTGATTGCCCACACATGTCCAGGTTCAATTGATCTGGACCCTACGAAACAGATGCACGTCCAAAGAAGAGTGGATGTAATTTCTCCCCCCCTCCACACACACTCACCTCTCCCCTTCACTCAGCTTACAGTACAACGCTTCTGCCTGGTTGATCGCCCGAACATGGTCCAGGTTCATTGAATGTTCCAACCCCCCCCCACACACACACACTCACCTCTCCCCTTCACTCAGCTTCCAGTACAGCGCCTCGGCCTGGTTGATCGCCCGCACATGGTCCAGATTCAATGGATCTAGCGCCAGCAGCTCGTCCCTCAGCCTCGTAAAAGACAGCTCCCGAAGCTCAGCTTCGGATAGGAAGCGCTGGCTAGACGGCGCAGGCTCGGCCGAACCTGTGCCGGACCACATGCCAGCAGCTGCTTCGGTGGTAGTTAAGGTGGAGGCTGAGGAGGGGGAGGAGGAGGAGGGTGGGTGGGGCTGAGACCGAGATGGTTTGGAGCTGGAGGAATGGTGGTGGGGAGGGAGGGGCGAAGAAAAGAAACAGAGAAGAGTAATTTGAAGAGGGATATAGTTTGGACATTATTAGAAATACGCCTACATCATGGCGTTTGAAGTGTCTTCAAGGTGAATTAGACTGCAATTCAGGCCAATGTGAGTCGAGACATGCTGCAAATTTAACCAGGATGAAACATGATGCAACTCGTGTTGATATGATCCTGCTGGCGGTGGTGATTTAACCTTCTCCTCACAGCAACTGATGCGAGGTACAGTGCTCGCACGTGAGCCGGCTTCTCATCCTCACTCAACACTGATCCGCCTGCAGTGAGGTGTATTTTGAGGCGCCTCAAAATCATCCTCACTCAACACTGATCCCCCACTGGCAGGTCCCTCACCTTGCATCTGCTCCTCCATGGAACCCCCTCTAAGCATCAAAAGCGAATGTGGGTTCTTTCATTCATTCACTCTCCAATGCGCTTGTTGTCTCACCTTCTTCTAGCAGCAACCGATGCGAGATATAGTGCTCGCACGTGAGCCAGCTTCTCATCCTCACTCAATGACGGCTCAACCTCATGCTCCTGTGCATGTGCCCTTTTCACATCACCATCACCTGCTTATCTCACCTTCTCCTTGCAGCAACTGATGCAAGATACAGCGCTCGTACATGAGCCAGCTTCTCATCCTCACTCCACGCTGCCCCCCCACTGGCAAATCCCTTGCCTTGCGCCCGCTCCTCTCCTTGCACTGCTGGTCCCCCACTGCTGGTGTCCTGAATGGGGTTGCTCCTGACCACCACGACTGCTTGTGTGTGTGGAATCCACATGTAGCGCACGTGCTGGTAGTCTCTCAACCACTGGCTGGGAGAGGGGGGAGGGGAAAGAAGGTGCTCCGATTGTCAGAAGAGCATGCACTGTGCTAGTTACAAGGACCGAGACAGGGTTGCAACTGACCACCACGACTGCCTGCCTGTGTGTGTGGAATCCACATGTAGCGCACGTGCTGGTAGTCCCGTAACCACTGGCTGGGAGAGGGGGAGTGAGAGGTGCAGGAGGAAAGCATGACATCTAATGCCATTCGCATTGAGGTGGTTTCTGAGGCGCCTGAAAAGCCACCTCAAAAACCACCTCATTGCAGAGAGAAGAGTAACAAGAGACAAGCATGACATTTGATGCCCCTCTCCTCCAGAGACCCCTCTTCTTAGCCCTCCTTACCCCATCTTTCCCCCCCAAACAACCATCACCACTGCTTACTCACCTGTGATGCAACTTGATTTCCTCCCTGGTTGGTAGTAACAACTGTTTCCTCCCTCAGCCTATGCGCCGGTACTGCTTGCAACTCCACCCCCCCCACCACTCCCAGCGCTCCGATCCTTCCTTGCCAGTCTGAATGGTTAACCCTAAAGTCCCTCCCACTGTTTACTCACCCATGGTGCCTCTTGATCTCCTCCTTAGTAGTAACAAACGTCTCCTCCCTTAGTCTGTGCGCCGGCACTGCTTGCAACTCCACCTCCCACTGTTTACTCACCCATGGTGCCTCTTGATCTCCTCCTTAGTAGTAACAAACGTCTCCTCCCTTAGTCTGTGCGCCGGCACTGCTTGCAACTCCACCTCCCCCACCACCCCTAGTGCTCCGAGCCCGCACCGAGCCAGGAAGAACAGGTCCGGGTCAGCTTCGGGCGTCAGGTGCAGCGTGCCCCTGCCAGGTGTCACTAGCTTAATGGCCACGACTTGCTCGTCCACTGGAGGGATGCCGGCCCCTGTGCCGTGTGCTCCCACCTGAGGGGGAGAACGGGAGGAGGGGAAGAAGAGAAGGAGGGCAAGAGGACGTTGTATCAGGTGCAGCACAGCGTGCCCCTGCCAGGTGTCACGAGGTGAATGGCCACGACCTGCTCGTCCACTGGAGAGATGCCAGCCCCTGTGCCGTGTGCCCTGGAGGGAGTGAAAGGGGGGGAGGGAGATAGGGGAGGAGATCGAGGGCAAGAAGGCGGCAGGTGCAGCCTCGGGCCCTCCTTGTACACTCATCCTACTCGCGCCTCCATCCACACCACAGGTAGCACCCCCTCCATCCACGAGGGTTCGGGTTGATTGGCCATGCAGTGGGTGCTCTCGAAACGGCTCACCTGAAAGAATCCCCCAATCTGCTGCTCTCGCACAGATGCATACTCCTGCGGAGTTACAGAGTATGCCTTTGGGGCCAAAGGGTTTCATTCAACCACCTGCTCCACTCTCGCCCCTGCCTGCACGCGCACCCTCCTGGTCACCTGTATCCAACCCCTGCTGCTCACCTAAATGAACCCGCAAATCTGCTGCTCCCTGACTGAAGCATAGTTCTGCAGGGTAAGTCCATAGGGCCTTAAAGCCTCCACCACCTGCTCCAAGCGCGCCCCTGCCTGCACGCGCAACCTCCCACCTACCAATGACGTGCCCTTGAATTGAACCACAAGCAGAACCCCATCCAGCCCCGTGCTGCTCACCTGAATAAACCCCCCTATCTGCTGCTCCCGCACCGAAGCATAGTTCTGCAGGTAAGCCCGTGCGGCCTTAGAGCTTCCACCACCTGCTCTGCTCCACGCGCGCCCCTGCCTGCACGCGCACCCTTTCACCAGTGCCTTACCCTTGACCCACATGCAGGGCAGAACCCCATCCATCCCCTGCTTCTCACCTGTATAAAACCGCCTATCTGCTGCTCTCGCACAGAGGCATAGTTCTGCAGAGTAAGCCCATACGGCCTTAGAGCTTCCACCACCTGCTCTGCTCCACGCGCGCCCCTGCCTGCACGCGCACCCTTTCACCAGTGCCTTACCCTTGACCCACATGCAGGGCAGAACCCCATCCATCCCCTGCTTCTCACCTGTATAAAACCGCCTATCTGCTGCTCTCGCACAGAGGCACAGTTCTGCAGAGTAAGCCCATACGGCCTTAGAGCTTCCACCACCTGCTCTGCTCCACGCGCGCCCCTGCCTGCACGCGCACCCTTTCACCAGTGCCTTACCCTTGACCCACATGCAGGGCAGAACCCCATCCATCCCCTGCTTCTCACCTGTATAAAACCGCCTATCTGCTGCTCTCACACAGAGGCATAGTTCTGCAGAGTAAGCCCATACGGCCTTAGAGCTTCCACCACCTGCTCTGCTCCACGCGCGCCCCTGCCTGCACGCGCACCCTTTCACCAGTGCCTTACCCTTGACCCACATGCAGGGCAGAACCCCATCCATCCCCTGCTTCTCACCTGTATAAAACCGCCTATCTGCTGCTCTCGCACAGAGGCACAGTTCTGCAGAGTAAGCCCATACGGCCTTAGAGCTTCCACCACCTGCTCTGCTCCACGCGCGCCCCTGCCTGCACGCGCACCCTTTCACCAGTGCCTTACCCTTGACCCACATGCAGGGCAGAACCCCATCCATCCCCTGCTTCTCACCTGTATAAAACCGCCAATCTGCTGCTCTCGCACAGAGGCATAGTTCTGCAGAGTAAGCCCATACGGCCTTAGAGCTTCCACCACCTGCTCTGCTCCACGCGCGCCCCTGCCTGTGGAGGGTCAGTCACATGGTGCAAGCTCACCTGTATAAACCCGCCAATCTGCTGCTCCCTGACCGAAGCGTAGTTCTGCAGCGTCAATCCATACGGCCTTAAAGCCTCCACCACCTGCTCCACGCGCGCCCCTGCCTGCACGTGCACCCTCCCCGTGGCCTTATCCACATGCAGAACTCGATCCATCAAGGCCAGGTTGACCATGCCGTGGGCGCTCAGAGCGATGCCGTTGGGGGAGATGGCGCTCCCCACAGGGCGGATGGGGCGGCCCTCCCTGTGGGCTGCCTGAACGATCCGCTCCAGGTCCTGGGAAGCAGAGGTGTGGGGGTCAGGAAGTGGGGGAGAGGGGGCAGCAGGGGAGAAGGGGATGGGTGTACGGCAATAGCTGCTGCTATGCCCATCCAAACACACCACTCGGCCCATGAGCCCCAGGTTGACCATGCCGTGCGTGCTCAGAGCAATGCCGTCGGGGGAGATGGCGCTGCCTACAGGGCGGATGGGGCGGCCCTCCCTGTGGGCTGAATGAACGATCTTTTCCAACTCCTGGAAGTGGAGAAGGGAGAGAGGGCAGCAAGGAAAAGGGGGGACGGAATCAGCTGCTGGTCTGAATGCTACCCATCCCTCCTGGTGCTCCTATCCACGTGCAGCGCTCGGTGCATTAAGTCCAGGTTCACCATGCCGTGCGCGCTCAGAGCAATGCCGTTGGGGGAGATGGTGCTGCCTTCAGGGCGGATGGGGCGGCCCTGTGCATGGGCTGCTTAACCAAGGTGCTTTAAGTCCTGGTGAGTGAGGGAGGCAGGGAAGCGGAGGCAGGGAAGCGGAGGCAGGGAGGCGGAGGCGGGGAGGAAGGGATGCAATGCCGTTGGGGGAGACGGCACTTCCCACAGGGCAGATGGGGCAGCCCTCCCTGTGGGCTGATTGAACGATCCGTTCCAAACCCTGGTGACACGGTGGGAGGGAAGAGGCGGGGGAGAGGAGGGTGGAGCAGGGAGGAAGATAGGGGGAGGAGATTGGCTGCGAGGAGGGGCGGAGAGGGCAGGGAGAGGCAGAGGAGGAGGGAGGAAGAGGCGGAGGCGGCAGGAAGAGGCCTCCGCCTTTTCAGACATACATACAATCACACATGCCCTTTTTAAATCACCTGCATGGACTCTGGTCGGTACACCACAGCGGCCCGAACCTCATCCACTGGTATACACACGCACTCTCAATCATACGCACACACCCCCTGCATAGTAGCACACACTCATACATGTATACAAGCACGCACCTGCATGGATTCTGGTCGGTACACCACAGCCGCGCGAACCTCATGAGTACCACTCCAATTCGACACCAACTCCCCTTCCTCCTCCCCCTCTTCCCCCTCTTCCCCCTCTTCCCCCTTTTCTCCCCCTACTCTCCCTTCTTTCCCCCTCTCCGCCCAAGCTACCCCTACTGCCGCCACCCCTGCAAAAAGAGCTCCGCCTGCACCAGCCCACGCCCCTCCGCGGCGGTTCCCCCAGCGCTTTCCCCCCGACCCTCCGCCTTCCCCGTTCCCCCGACCCCCGCCGTATCCCCGCGTGTTTCCCGAATTCTGCGCTTTCCGCGGATCTTCTGCCCCAACCGCGGTGAAAGCAGACCGCTGGATGGCGGAGTTGTGGAAATGCGGGGGAGATTGCGGAGACGAGGAAGGCGGACGAAGCGGAAGAGGGGAAGGAGACGCTGGGGCGGAAGAGGCGGAAGGATCGGCGCACGGGGCGGGTGCAAGCGGACATGCTGCGCGGATCGCAGATGGAGGGGGGAACGAACGGCGGGTGTCGGGGAAGGCGGGTGCGGCGCCTGTGGCATAGGCGCGAGCGGACGTGTAGTTACATGTTAATCGAAGAATTACGGAGTCTGCTTCGCGAGAGCGATGTCGCAACAGCCGCACGGCAGACGCCATAGCTGCGATGATGGCTGGCGAACCCCGCACAGGGTGAACCAGAGGCGAGCTGGATCTCCTGCTTTCTTTCAAGAAAACAGCCTTTTGTAGGTGCTGTAGAAACATGAGAAGACCCCGTTCTGTGAATGGTTGGAAATCGCATGGTTCAGTTTCCGTCCGTCCTGATACCGAACGAGTAACCCTGATAATTGATGTCGCCAGCGAAAGCATCCTGGTTCTCGCTATGGAAAAGTAAACGTGTTCACGATTGTCGTTACGAATGTGCCTCGCGATCAGTTGAATTCCATCTGACACTTGGACGAATCTTGGAAAGACTTGACGTACCTCTTTCGCAACTAACCCCACCCCATCGTCTACAAGTTCGCGTATGAAATCTCCTGGTTGACTAACCTAGATTTGGTGGATGCCAGTGCACTAAGATTCCCATCAGTCTACAAGCCGCGTTTGCGTCGGCCTACCAGTTTCTTCGTACCTCCCCAATCCCTTCCCTCGACGCGATGCTCTGTGCCTCAGCCTTCTCACTCCGTCAACGTTAGATTTCTTAGGCATTTTCTCTCGACCTTCAACGCGTCCGCTATATCAGTCTTGCATTTTTTTTTTCACTTCCGGTGATCGGCGCTCCTACGCCGTTGACGCATCAAACCCGAATTCGCAAGTTCTCCTCCTGGCCGCACGTGCTCTCAGCCACTCCTCACATGGCTCGACCATCCCTCCAGCGATCTCTCCTCCTCTGCATCTTCGCCGGATTCATCGGCGCCTGCAAACCCATCCTCGCCCGCCTTTCCGGCTCGTGGCGCTCCTTCCCTCTCCTATCCGCACTCACACTTCTAGACGCCTACGGTGCCGCCGACGCAGTTATTTCCATTGTCTGTTACGGCGGTGTTCTGTTTTTAACAGTAGGAATGTGGCATTCTTATATCGAATCCATGGAGGGGATCTCGTCTCTTGGGGCGACCATGATCAGCAGCTCCTGTTCCATTCTTTGGTCTGGTGCATTAGGGGTTCTGCTGCTGGGGGAGGAGTTAAAGCCTAGGTGGTTTGTGGGTGCATTGTGTATTTGTGCTGGGCTTTGCTTGGTAGCTCTGGCTAATAAGGAAACCGCCGAGGAGGAATTAGAGAAGGCAAAGCAAGAGCATTAGGCATTCCTTGCTTGCCGGTACTTATAACAGCGGAAGAAAAATACCGTAAGCATGATTGTGTGCTCAACCTATGACATCATTTTTACATGCCTCAAACAGGGTAGTCTTTATCAAAATTATATGGTATCTCAAGCATTCACAAGATATGTTTAAAGCACGACGACTTTCACTCTGGTTCCGGTAGCATCTGTATCATTGATGGTTCTTCCAATTATTTTGTTAAGGCTCATAGTGCAAGCATGATGGTGTACAGTCGATGCTCAGCCTATCACAAAACATTTGCTCCTCATAATTAGAAATTTAGTCACTCGCGAACGTTTTGCCCGTGAGTGACTAAATTGACCATTGTGCCGATTTCGGGGTACAGTCACCAAGTTGAGGAAGAAAAACATCTACAGTGCAAAAACAACAACGGTTGCCTGTCATCAGAGAAGTTAACCTGGTTACAAAACTAAAACCCTTGACTCGACTCACGTTGCAATTTCATATTACTGTCACATTTTTGCCCGTGGCGACAAGGGCGAATGTGGCGAAATGGCTCAAACACGTTTCACGCACATGCCGCCCGCCTACCTGGTGTTCTTGTAATGGGCACCGACTGTACCACAGTGCGGATGATTGAGATGTCAGTCTAAACTGACAGTCTAAACGGAGTTCATCACAAGGCTCGTAGCGAGGGTCCTTTTTTGGCAGGCCCTGCCCGTTGTGTGACCTAAACTTCATTCTCTCGATCAGTGAAATCTCCAGTGAGTTACTTGCCGCCATGGACGTCAAGCGCGCAGCACGCAATTCCGCCGCTGCCGCCGCGAACGCCTCCGCTGTAGCCGCCACCGCTGCCCCTGCTTCCCTCGCATCTGCAGCCCCATCTTCGGCTGCCCCGTTCCTGCCGCCTACCATCCTCGCCGCGAATCCCGTCGTTACCCCGTCCACGTCAGCAACCGGAGCCGCGCCGCTCTCTTCCAATCCTGCGCGTCGACTGACGAACGGCTCAGATCGAAGCAAGAGTACAGATCGTAGCAAGGATCGGCATAAGAAAGCATCTGGCGGGAAGAATACGATGATTAGGTTAAACCCGGATACTGCAGACCGCTTTTTCCGCCTTCAGCAGTTATTAGGGAGGCGTAAGATTAAACGCGCTTCGGCTTCTAGTGTAGTTAATTGGTTGATTGACTCGTCGAACCACATACTCACGGCCCTGATTGATGGATCGCTGAATATAGCAGATGTTCCCGAGGAGGTTAGAAACGCGGATGTTTCCACGGGAGCTGGCGGAACTGGCGGAGTTGGGGGGGGCAAAACTAGGGGGAACGTTGCGGGGGCAGGCGGGTTCGGGGGAAGCAAGTTTGCGGAGCTGGAAGCTGCGCTGAAGAAGTTTGCCGCAGGGGAGCCGCGGGTTCGCGTGGGGGGTGCACGGGTTGGCGCGAGGGAGGCGCAGGTTGGCGCAGCGGAAGCGCGGGTTGGCGCGGCGAACGCGGAGGGGGGCGGGGGAGAGCGGAGCATTTTGGGGGAAGCCATGGGGGAAGAGGGGATTGCGGAGCGGAAAAGGACAGGGGCGCAGGGCAGGGGGGGTGTTGCTGGGGGGAGACAGGGAGGTGGGGGGAGAGGGGGGCGGAGTGGGGCAGGGGAGGGGGCAGCCATAGCGGGAGTGGGAGGGGGAGGAAGATGCGGAGCTATAGCAGATTCCCCTGAAGCAGCATCGTCTGTAGCAGCAACAGCTATAGCAGCAGAAACTGTAGCAGCAGCACCTGAAGCAGCATCGGGGACTTTAGGAGAAGGGGATTCTGCAGCAGCAGCAGCAGCAGCAGCAGCAGCAGGCGGCATGTCAGGACCCCTCACAGGAAGACCTGCAGCTGTAGCGGCTACAACCACGGCTAGAGTGGCAGGTACTGTCGCAAATAGCACTGTCGCAGGAGCAGGGCCTGAAGCAGGGGCTGTAGCAGTGGCTGTAGCAGCAGGAACAGGACCAACAGCAGCTGCTTCTGCAGCTTCGGCTGTAGCAGCAGCAAGGGTTGCTGGGGGAATCAGCAAAGCAGGTGCTGTAGCTGGAGGGGCGAAGGCAGCAGTCGGGCCGGCAGCGCCACCCACTGTAGCAGGAGCTGCAGCGCCACCGGCTGTAGCAGGAGCAGCAGCTGGAGGGGCGAAAACAGGAAACAGCTTGAGTGTGCCGACAGCGCCGCCGGCTGTAGCAGGAGCTCAGTCAGCTGCTGTAGCAGAAATGGGAGCGGCTGTATTGGGTATGAGTACAGCAGTACCTGTAGCAGGAACAGGCACTGTTGTATCAAGAACAGAGGCTGTAGCAGGAACAGGGGCTGTAGCAGGAACAGGCACTGTTGTAGCAAGAACAGCGGATGTAGCAGGAACAAGGGCTGTAGCACGAACAGCGGCTGTAGCAGGAACAGGAACAGCTGTAGCACGAACAGGGGCTGTAGCAGTAACAGGAACGGCTGTAGCACGAACAGCAGGTATAGCAGGGGCTGGAGCACGAAAAGAGGCTGTAGCAGGAACGGGAGTTGCAGCAGGAACAGGGGTCGTAGCAGGAGCAGGGGTTGTAGCAGGAGCAGGGGTTGTAGCAGGAACAGGGGTTGTAGCAGGAGCAGGGGTTGTAGCAGGGAGTTTATCAGGAGCAGCCAGGTACAGGGTGCAAGGAGTCGCCCCTTCAGTGTCGTTTGTGCAGACCTTCCAACAGCAGCTACAGCCGCCGCAGCTACAGCCGCCTCAGCTACAGCCGCCACAATTACACACCGTGCAGCAACGGTCGTCACAGGTGCAGCAGTTACCACAGCAGCTGCAAGCAACGCAACCACAGAAACAACAGTCGCAACACAGGAAGGTACAACCCCCTCAAGTGCAGCCACAACACTCGCAGCTGCAGCAGCAGCCGCAGTATCAACAGCAAAAGGCTGCTATTCCTGGTTCGGCTGCTCCTGGTTCGGCTGCTCCTGGTTCGGTTGCTCCTGGTTCGGTTGCTCCTGGTTCGGCTGCTCCTGGTTCGGTTGCTCCTGGTTCGGTTGCTCCTGGTTCGGCTGCTCCTGGCTCGGCTGCTCCAGGTTCGGCTGTTCCTGGTTTGGCTGCTTCTGGTTCGGCCACTGTTACTCTCCCTGCTTCTGCTTCCTCCTATGTGTCTGAAACGCAACGCACACACCAGCAAGAGCAGCAACAAAAGCAGCAGCAGCCGCAACAAGAATTTACAGGAAAAATGCATTTGGTTCAGAATTGGCAAAAATCCACAGGGGCAGCAACAGCAGCAGACTCAACCGCAACAGCAGCAGCAACAGCAGCAGCAACAGCAGCAACAACAACAGCAACAACAACAGTAGCGGCAACAGCAGCAGCAAAAGCAACAGCAGCAACAACAACAACAACAACAACAACAGAAGCAGCAACAGCAGCAGCAACAACAGCAACTGCCACAGCAACAGCACCAACAGCAACATCGGCGACAGTAGCAGCACCAGCGACAGCAGCAGCAACAACAGCAGAAGCAACAATGGTAGCAGCCCGAGTAAATGCTGCTGCCAATGCTGCTGGTGATGCTGTGACCGGTGCCACTGCCAATGCTTCTGCCAATACTGCTCCTGCTGTGCGTGCTGCATTTGTAGCAGCAGGGCCGACAGCAGCAGCATCAGCAGAAGCAGCAGCAGCAGAAGAGGCAGCCACAGCAGCGGAGTGTGGTGTGGTATCAGGGAGTGAAATGCGTGATTTCGAAGCTGAAGTCCATGCCGAAGCTGTGGCTGAGGCTCTGGCCAAGGCTACAAGTGAGGCTCGGCTTGAGGGGGCAGAAGAGACAGCACAAGGGCAGTCAAACAAACGTCTACGAGACACGGTATCAGGAGTCTTGGTGACAGGAGGTTCGGTGCCAGC